ATGAGGAAAAATCAAAGCTGCTGGAAGTATCAGCTTTCACACATCAGAAAGAATTGATCTGTATTAAAAATTATTTCCACAGTGTATGTGCAAGTGTAAATATAGTTATTCATGGCTCATTTTACTGTAAATAAATAAATAAATACAGATCAAATACTTTAGGAAACAATTTAATTTTTGTTCTTTCAGTTCTTAACTGAGCAGATGGTCTTGTTTTCCCAATTGAATAAGCAATTGACCAGATAATTTTGACAGGGTAATATACTGTGTTTCTCAAATATAACATTCAGGAGTTAGTCACTCAGTATTTCAGATACTATTTATAACAGTACGGATGGCTGAATGGATGCCTTTCTTAATGAAGTGGCCTTAGCTTTTTTCTCTCACTTTTGTGGGGAATAGTTTGGAGGTGGGAATCAGGAGAAGTATATAAATTCATATTTAGAAATAGCTGTAATTTGGGGGCAGAAAAGAAAAGCATTCTATGTCATATATATATATATTGAGAAATCAAATGAAAATATCTAAATTCCAGTTAATGAAACTAAACTTAGTCTAATTTTCTGTCTCATTTAACCACTTACAAATCTAATGCTAGAGTAAACAGATTCTTACTAAATTACCACTTTACTGCTGCTTCTCAATGATTCACAGTTCTCAATGTGTCCTTCATGTATTCATTTGCAGTGTTACTTCAGAAAGTCCTGAGTTCATATATGCAAGTTTTCATGCTTTAAGAAATTTCCATTGCTCTGAGAACTTTATCTCACATCAACATGAGATGCTGACTGCACAGTTGTCACTGTGCAGTCATTAAGTACTCGTATAAACAAGTACTAAATGACTGTGCAGTAGACTTACTGCACTGTCACACTGAGGAATGGCTTTTTCATGATGCTGACTGCACAGTAGTTCGTGACTACTGTGCAGTAGCGTCACATCACACTTACTGCCATGCAACGCTTCTGTGCAGTAGTCATGGGCTACTGTGCAGCCAGTGTCTCATGTAGACACGGCCGGATGTCTACATAAGACATTTACTGCAGAGTTGTCTAATTAGCTCTGCAGTAAAGTCTCTGTATCTACATGTGTGGTCCTATTAGGCTGCAGGAAACTAATAAACTTGGCAGCAGGGTACTACTTGTAAATACAAGGATTATCCTGCTGCAGAGTTTTTTACTCAACAACAGTGCACATGTGGATAATGATGTGGCTGGCTGGGGCACAAGGATACTTCAGTGCAGGGGCCACCTGATGGCTAGCTTCCCATTAGAGCACCCTCATGCCTCAGCCAGCTCCTCCGCAGCATGCTGAGTCAGGTCAGAGTGGTCCCAAGCTGGCAGCCTGACCCCTCGGGCCCCCTGATAGCCAGAGCTGCTCTGAACCAGCTCAATGTGCTGCAGTCCTGGGTGCATGTTCAAAAGGCATTCCTGGGAGCAATAAACTATGGTGCAACTAGCACTGAATTTTATGCTCCACCCTAGTTGCATGTGTAGATGTGCCCACAAAGTACAAATATAAAAAATTAACCCCTTTCAAAAAATCCTTTTATGGAATCTATCCCCTCTCAGTTGTAAATGTTTTCTGACATATTACTTAATCTTCCAGGAGTATAATTCCCAAGTCATTAAGATAAGTCAAAGGAGGAGGACATTCACAAATTTTGTGTCAGTCACAATGCTGCTTTGTCATCAATATAATTGTGGGGAATGAAAAGAAAGGGATACAATAGAAAGGGGACCGATGGCATCAAGATAGGTTTGGGTCTAAACCAAAACACAGAGTATTGTGGAAAGCTGTGACACATCTTGTATTCTGACAAAGACAGTTATACTTTCTGTTGATCAAGGGACATAACTGTATCATACTACAACATATTATATAGATTGCAGGCTACAGCACTACACGGAAACTCTTTAGATATACTAAAACAGTATAAAAGAACTTGCCTGACACTGGCATAGTGGAGGGAGTCATAGGACAGATCACTAGACTCAATCACACTAAATCAACATGACTCCCAACATGAAGCAACTACTGTTATTCCACTCCTGAAACACCATATCTGCAATTCTGTCACAGAAACCCAGTTCTGACCCTGCGGGTCCTTTTGCTGACATATGGCCTAGGGATAGACATTCAAAAAGCCGGAGCCTGAAGCTGGAGGTTAGTTTAACCTGCAAAGATTGAACTGATTTGCAAGTGCACAGACATTCATGTTTAATTCTGGAAATGCAGGCACATGCCTGTAGTGGCTCAGGCTAGAAGCTGGGGCGCACTAGAGCAGCCCTCCCTTCCCTTTGCAGCAGCCACAAGGCTGGAAGGACCTGGGGTGTGAGGCCAGGCCCCCTCAGGGGTTAAGTATAATTGTTAAGGGGTTTAAACCCCTACCCTGGGCTGCAGGGATCATAGCTGGGATGTGCCTAGAGAGGTAGAGGGGAAGCAGCCCTTACCAGGCTTGTCCCTGAGGCCAGGGACAAGCTGGGGCAGTACCTCAGGCAAAAGGGAACAGGGAGGGGGATTAAACTCACCCCCTCTCTGAGTGGGCATGGGACCCCAGTTGGGGTCTGCCCAGCTTTCTCCCCTGCTCTTGCTTGGGTGACAGGGGGCCTGGACAGAGCTGGCTGGTATGGCTCTACTATCCACCCAGGGTTGGGGCTGGGGCTGGGGCTGGGGCTGCAGCTGGGGATGTGGGGCTGAGCCCAGCCAGCCTGCTGGTGCTGCTGAGGGTGGAGGCAGAGAGGCAGCTTGGGCTGGGACTGTGGGGGCTGCAGTCAGATTGTTCCTGGATCCCCATGTCCAAGCCATGTGGGGCTGTCATGGAGACCCAGCTGGATGGAAAGGGCCCTGCAGCACCAGTATGGGGCAGGGTAGGGCCCTTCCCAGCCCACTGCCAGCTGTGTTACAGCCCAGTTGGCAGCACAGGTGGGGGCTCGCTGGGGAGCAGGCTTCCCAGGCCAGCTTGGAGGTACCAACAAGCCGCAATCCTGGTAGGTGCCACCATGTCCCCCGTCCTGTGCAGCACCCAGGGCCACAGATGCACAACCAGGTGTGGGCTGGCCAGGACCACGGGGGGCTGTTCTGCTCTCCTCACCTCCAGCTGCTGTGGCCACACAGTGCCATTCTGGGTGGGGGAAGCTTCAGCCCCGTAGCTTCTGCCCAACATGGGGAGCTCTGGCTCCAGCTCCTGGATGCCTTGGAAGGCAGAAGGCATCCGGGTGGAAGGCATCTGGAGGCTGCAGCCAGAGCTCCACGTGCTGGGCCGAAACCACCAAGTCCAGCAGGGCTGCTTTTCTCCCCTCACCTCCAGCTGCGGCTCCTGCTTCTGTCACACCACACAGCACTGCTTGGGGCAGGGGGAGCTTCCTTCAGCCTGGCGGCTTCAACTGCAGTGCGACCGAAGCAAGAGCATTTTTTTTCTAGATTCTTATTAGGAAAAAAAAAAAGGAGAGATGAAGATTTGTTCAAATGGCAACACAGTCAAACCAAAATCACAGAGTTCCAATTACAATAAAGTATCAATCAGACACACAAAATATATGAAAAGACAAACATAAATATTATTACACAAAGCACCAAACCAAACTGAACACATTTGACCTTTCCCCCCATGGATATCCAGAGCAATCATATAAAATAAATCAGTTAATTCCATTCTTTTCCTGAAAGAAAAGGAAATCCTGAAGTCATATAAGTACTGCCCTGGATGTAACCCTAGAAAAAAAGCATTACAGAAAGCCTATCATAGAGGTTTAAGTATAATTTTCCTGCAAGAAATCAGTAACAGCTTATTAAGTCTATTTAGACTGAAGCCAGTAAAAGGTAAGTATGATAGATGGAGGGGAAAGAAACACTTTTGGAATGGGCCTTACCTTGTGCTAATCAGGAGACATGGCAGAGAGCTATAAGGAAATACAGCCTGCATTGCTGTATACTGTATTTATGGAGCTGAATATTTGAATTTACTGTTTTTATACCTACCTAGAAAAACATAAGAAAATACATCTGTCCAACTACAACCAAACCATAACTGCCACAATAAAATAGTAGCTGGAGATGTTAATTCCATACTCAAACCTGAATATTTTCAACTAATCTATGTTCTGTTCCTGGCCATGCCCAAGTACTTACTTTATCAGGTTACAGATATCTTCATATTATAGAAATGCATACCAATTAGTTATGCTATTCATGCTCAACAATATCAAGGAAATGATAGGCTTAAAGAAAAAATAAAAGCTTATAGAAGAAATACTAGTAGTTTACATGTTATATTTCATTAACTCAAAGATTATGAAAAACATAGAACTAATCCTGAAAAGATATACATGTTTTTAATTACATGCACCATATTTTGTAAGACTACTCAATGTATAAAGTTAAGGGTGTGCATATGTCTTTATAGGATCATACCTGGATATGCCTCTACAAAGTATATTTTTCTATTTTTGAATGCATTTCTTGGCATTCTGCATTTCTAATTCTCACAAGTATTCAGATTGCAGAATTATCATGATAAACACACGTACATTTTAAAATGCAACATAACTAACCATGTACATAATAAGAATCAAATTGTGAAATTCTTATTCACTTTTTGATTAATTTTACTCAAGCAAACTTACACTGGACTGATTGAAATGGTAAGAAAAATTCTAAAATTGAGAATAAAAGAAGCAGTAAGGTCAAGCAGAGAGATCATGAAATATTGGATAGTCTGCATTCTATTTGTCCTACTATTCATGAACTGTTGTATGAACTTTGGCAAGTGACTTAATCTCCGCCTTAGTTTATACAACTGTAAAATGGAATAGCGATACTTCATTTGAAAAGCACTTTCAGGTCTATAAATGAAAAATGCTGAGAGAGGCAACTATAATTGTTTTAAAAGATGGAAAACAAATATTTGGGATCATGATATGCCTCTGTCATTCTCAAAACTTTGTATGCCTCAAATAATTCTTAATATATACAAATATACTAAAAGAATTGTTGCTTACCTTGGTATGATAGCTTAAATCCTTGTCTGTTTTCTGAGTGATCACTATAAAAATGGATGAGTGTTTCATGAGTTGTACTTAGCAAAGATGGTGGAAGTTCTATTCCACTAAACTGGCCAATCTTTGAACTGGTGTGGTAAGGCCCATTCTGAATTTCAAGGAAATCATGATTTGCTTCAGTAGAGAAGTTTAGAAACTGAATATGTGCACCTGTGCAGGAAATGTGTGGGAAATAAACCAAAATTACAAAAAGAAATTTCAATACAAAAATTATATCATCCTAAAATATATGCATTCAGGAAAGAGACAGTATATATCATTATAGAATCATAGGAAAGTAGGGCCAGAGGGGGTCTCACAAATTTATCTAATCCAGGCCCCTGGGTCAAGCCAGGATCATCCCTAAGCCATCCCAGCCAACTGTCTGTTCAACCTGCTCTTGAAAATTTCCAAGAATGGAGATTCCACAGCTTCTTGAAGTATCTTATTCCAATGCCTGACCACCCTCATAGTCAGACAGTTCTTCCTAATCTCCAATTTAAATCTCTCCTGCTGTAGCCTGAGGCCATTGTTGCTAGTTGTGTCCCCTATAGCCAAGGAAAAGAGCCCATTTCCATCTTCTTTATAAATGACCTTCAGGTATTTGAAGACTTATCAAATCCCACCTCAGTCTTCTCTTCTCCAGACTAAATAACCCCAGTCCTTTCAGACTTTCCTCATATATTTATGCATGTATGAACATAAAATACTATTTTGATATACTATATGGTATATTGTGGCCAACGTTTTCAAACGTGGATCCCTAAATTTGGGAATTTAGAGGTAAATCCACAAATACACTGCAATAGCTAACTCCTTGGTACTTATTTGCCTACTAGAATGCATGACCTCAGGCTTCCTATACCTAGAAAAGAGATTATTGAGCTTCCTAAATTAACCATAAGATTATGATTTGTACCAAGGAATTAAAACCTGTTCTCCCACATCTCAAAAGAATGCCCAAACCACTGCAGTACAGAATATAGTGACTCATTCCCCTCCTTCCTATACTTCTTTTTCTCCCTTTCCAGTCCAAAGAATATTTAATTATTTATATAGAGTGAAATACATCTGCAAGGTGAGATTAAAAGAGGCTCATGCAACACTACTTAATACCCTAGTGGTTAGGGCACTTGCAGTTGGAAGTGAGAGAGTAAATCAGAAGTCCCACTCCAAATCATGTGAAATGGGGATCTGAAATCAGGTCTCCCACCTCCCTGATATGTACTATAATCAGAGGCATATTCTGTAAAATAGAACTGGAATGGACACACGCACAAATACAGAACCAGGTAAAGCTTTGTCTTTTGCAATAAGCCTGAATTTGTTGTATTGATCTGGGCATGCTTACCAGATCAAATAAAGAAATGCCTATTTTAAAAATCTGGTATTTACATGACAGCTAGCACAACAACCTTGGCACATCCCAGCTATGGTCCCTATAGCCCATGGTGAGGGGGTATAACCATCATTATCATGATGCTCAGCTTAAAAGAGTAGAAGATTGATTCAAATGGTTTATTATGCATACATTTTAAATGATCCTACAGACTTGTTAATATCATCTCATTGTGATAGCATATACCTGCACAGCAAAAGAATAGATCACTATATTCTGGGAAATGCTTAGGCCCAGGCTTGTCCTGAGCTTTTCCCAGTCAACCTGAAGTGCTTGCACTGCAATAAATAATGGTTTGAGGCCTTACCTTTACAAAGCAGATAGCAGAATAACGGTGGGAAATTAAAATGAATCTTTATTCAGGAAAAGATGTAATTGCAAGCCTCTTTGTTTAAATGAGTGGGATTCGGATCTTACTCTGAATTCGTCGATGAGAGCTAGCTCTTTTCTCGTGCATGATACTACATTTCTACCTGATTAATACCAGATCCTTCAAGTAACTTGCAGTATGCATTTGTGTGCACACACGTGTGTAAACTTATTTTGGAAATAATTTACATATATATTTAATAACCCAATATGTTTGTTCTGATAATAAAGAAACCCCAAGCATCCTGAACGTAGATGCTCTCAGTGAGTGCATCTACACATGCGATTAAGATGACATGATAAATTCTGATAAATGGTGTAGTCTGTGCCAAAGTCAGCTGCTTCCAGGCACAGCATCTGCACGTGCACCTGGGCCTGAAGCAATTTGATCCAGGCTGGAGCAGCCCTGGTTTGGCAACAGTCCCAGTGTCTGGGGGGCTGCAGTGAGAAGTGGAGGAGCTGACAGAAGCACAAGAGTGCTAATGTGTGGGGCTAGGTAGCAGGCATGCCTCATGCCCCAGCCAGCCTCTGTCACCATCTATACATGCGTTTCAGTATACATTATTACCCTGCTGTAGAATAGTACTGTCTCCAGCCGTACTATCTTTCAGTGGAGTTAATTAATTTACTGTGCCCCAATACTGGTGCATGTATAGATGGTGATTCTTTACTGCAGAGCTAATCAGTCAACTCTGCAGTAAAGCACATGTGTAGATGCAACCAGTGATATGAAAAAATAGATCATACTATGATAATTAAGTGTTCAAAGTTCTGCTAGTCTCTCTTTTTCAGGCTTTTTATCATATAAATTATTTATGGAACAATCCTTGAGATTAAGCTCTGATATAAAGGATTTAAACCTGGTTATCAATTACTTTAGCTAGGTCTTGGGGGACAGGAAAAAATCGTGATTATTTTTTAATGGTCAGTTTGGGTAAGTATTTCTAAAAATTATTAGTTAAACTATAAAAAATCACATTAAAAAAAGTTTATGAAGGAACCAGAATGAATATGGTTACTGAGCTAACTTTCCATTGAGTTACTCTTTCCTGGATAAACATTTTTACTCTAGATTAAAATGTCCTGTGACTTTTCTCACCTAGTTGCTCCTTATAGTTTTTGGAAAATACTGCAACATATCTTGCTACAGTAAAAACAGAAGGATAATAAGAGTCCTTCTTTGACCCACCTGCTTACATTATTATCTTGGTAACAATTACAACAACTTTGATAACTGAAGACATAGGGACAATATTAGTTATTCACCAGGAATAGTCAAATAAGGTATGTTAGGCACAGCACAACATTCTACACAGATACTAATTTCACCTGGTCATGAAGGCTAGGGACAGACATTCAAAAAGCTGGAGCCTGAATTGATTCAATCTTTGCAGGTTAGTCTAACCTGCAGAGAGTGAACTGGTTTGTGACATGCTTGAATTTACTCAGGCTAGGAGCTGGGAGTGCTACAGTGTGCCCTCAGCTGCAGGGAAGCTGTGCTGAGGGGGTGTGGCCAGCCCAGGGAGAGGTTTAATTCCCCACTCCCTGTTCCACCAGCAGGAACCCAAGCCAGGTCTGCCAGTTGCTCCCCACTCCTGCTGCAGCAGAGTGTACCATGGCCCCTGAGGCAAAGGGGGATGGGAGGGGGGTTAGTCTTCCTTCCACCCATACTGACAACCAGGTCTACCCTCCCCCAGTTGCCACCATGCTTGCTCCCTGCAGCAGAGTACATCCCTGCTGTCCCCTCCATGGGAGGACAGAGGGAAGGAGAATAACCCAGTCTCTGCCCGCACCAAGGGGCCCTATGGGCTGGCTGTGCCTCTGCCAGGCCACTGCAGTAGGAGGGGGCAGACAGCAGCTCACTATAATGTCTGGCAACATGAGCCCCTTCCTAGTGGGGGGGCCCGCTGCAGGGTGGGCAGAGCTGCGGCGGGCTGTGTACAGCAACACTGAGGGGTGGCAGAGCCCACAGCGCTGCCGCCATGGTCACTTTCCTCGCACTGCGGGGAGCCCCCCCTCCCCACACCAGGAAGGGGCTCCTGCCCTCACCGCTCCAGCAGCTGGGCAGGGGCATGGCCACACAGATCTGGCCTGTGGAGGGGCTTTATCTGGCCCCCAGCAGGTCCCTCAGTCCCACCAGGCTGAGGTGCCACTCCCTGAGCTGCTCCACAATGGAACTTCCTTTCTTGGCAGCCCAGCCACAGAAGCTCCTTGCAGCTTGGAAGCATCATGCCCTGCTGTGGCTCCAGGCTCCCCATTCTGAGATAGCAATGGTGGCAAGGAAGAAACAGATGCTCAGCATGGAGGGAAAAGCCCCTCCTCATCCCACTGCAGGTGCTTCCAGTTGCAGCCACCCAGAGCCGGCATGGGCTGCCCTGTGTCTCTGCCATGTCACCACCACCTCTGGGCTGCACCACATGGAAGTGGTCAGAGCAGACACAGTCCAGCTCCAGGTGGCTGCAGCAGACACCGGCAGTGAGAGAGGGAGGGGTCACTTTTCCTCTGCACTGGGTCCAAGCTCCCTCATCTGGGCTGAGCAGCAGTGATGGGGAAGAAACGGCTGCTCAGTGCAGGGCAAAAGAGGCCCCTCCCCCTCCTACTGCCAGCATCTGCTGCAGCCACTCAGAGCTGGCACCAGGATTCCCTGTGTCTGCTCTACTGACACTGCTGCCCCATGGGGCAGCCCAGAGGCAGTGGTGATGCAGCAGAGATGCAGTGCAGCCCGGTGCTGGCTCCAGGTGGCTGCACCTGGAAGCACTGGCAGTGGGACGGAGAGGGGATTTTCTACCCATGTCATTTCTCCCCTGCCACTGCTTGACAGCCTGGATGGGGGAGCCTGGAGCTGGCATGGGGCTTGCAGGGTTAGGGTTGTGTGCACTAGTTCCCACTTGTAGCCTGGGCCATTGGCAGCAGCAAAGGAGGTGCTGTGGCTGGGCTGCCAAGAAAGGCAGTCCCACTGTGAAGCAGCCCCAGACTTGCTGCATGCCCAGGGAGTGGCACCTCAGCCCAGCAGGACTGAGGGACCCACTGGTGACCAGACAAAACCCCTTCACTGCCCAGATCCGCCCAGCCTGCAGCATCTGGCTGTGCCCCAGCCTGGGCACTGGAGCAGCAAGGGGGGAGGGCAGAACCAGCTGACAGTAGGGGTAGAGGGCAGATTAACCCCACTCCCTGCTCCCTCTGCCTCAGGTGCCATGGTGTCCACTGCTGCAGCAGGAGGGGGGGAAAACTGGTAGACCTGGCTCAGGTCCCTGCCAATGGCACAAGGAGCGGGGAATTAAACCCCTAGCTGGTCAGACCCCTGCCCCTGCCCATCCCTGCTTTGGCTGGGGGTGTCTGGTTTAACTTAAACCAGAAAGGGGTCTGGGACAGACAATGCATAAACCGGTTTGAGCCAAATCAGTTAAGTCTGATACTACATTTAACCAGGTTTACCTTAAACTGGTTTTGGCCATTTTGAAACTGGTTTATGTGCACTGAATCTCTGTTCCATTACAGTTTTCAACCAGTTTCTGATCACTTTAAACCAGTTTATGTGTAACGTCTGTCCCTACCTGAAATGTTGAAATAATACCTAAGAATTTAAATGATTATGCCTATAATTATTTCAGCAGATTGTAGAAGATAAGAAAGCCATTTAAAATGGGGTCAACACAGGACTTTTTGAAGATCCACTGTTAAGCATCATACTTTGGTTGTCCTGGTCATACAGTAAATATTAGTTTAACACTAAAACAAGACAAGAGCTTCACCCATAAGGAAGCAAAGGATCTAAAAAGTAAAGTCAAAGGGAAAATAATAACTCAAATGGAGCAGTCTTAAATTAAAGAGAGTAACCATAGTGGAATTTGTTTTACTTTAAAAGAAAAAAGAGAGGAATTAAGTAGATATACATTTAAATTAATAGTTATTGACTCTCTGCTTCCTTCATATCTCTTTAACTCTAATATTAAGGTCATTTCTATTCTATTTCTTTATTGCTTCACTAGAGGTGGCCTGGTCCATTTACGACTGTTAGTTTAAATTAGTGCACGTGCGCACGCGCACACACACACACACACACACACACACACACACGCGCACACACACACACACAAATTAGGGCTGCATGAAGCTTCAGTCACTGATTCAATTTGGTAGAAATTCAGCCCAATTTGGTGGCCAAATCTCTGAATCTGAATCAAATCAGGAGACCCTTTAATCTTTCCAAATCAAATCATAGCCCTCCAAATCGATTTATAGAGATTCGGAAAGATTCGATGATTCGGACATAGACACAGCTTTAAACATTTCTTCTACATACCTTAAGGTACCAGGTGGCTCGCAAATGCTGAGATGGTGGGGCGGATGTAGCGTCCCACAGGAGCACTGGGTGGGTGGTCCCCAGCACACTCAGCAGCAGACCTGGAAGTGGACCAGAAGCACTTCTGGTCTACTTCTGGGTCCACTGAGGAGCACACAGGGGGACCTGCCCCCTGTGCCACTCTGGCTCACTGACTGGTACCCTCCTGGGTCTGGGGGGCCACCAGGGTCCCTCCATGGCAGATAACAGAGCTGGGGGGGGGCATGGCCCCCATCCATGTGCTATGCAGTGGACCTGGAAGTGGACCGGAAGTACTTCTGGTTCATTTCCAGGTTCATAGCCGAGCACATGGGGGGGGGAGGGGTGCATTCCTGTGGGTTGCTCCATCTTCCCCACCATCGCAGTGTTTATGAGCGGTGTCTGGTACATCAAAGTATGTAGAAAAAACATTTAAAGTTGTGACTATGGCCGAATCACTGATTCTCCAAATCAGCATCAAATCTTCAGATTTAGATTCGACCAAATCGAATCAGGACAGTGATCCGAATCAACCAATTGAATCACTGTCCCCAGTTTGGACCAAATCTGAATATATATATAATGGAATATACAAACACACACATAAATATATATAAATCTTAACAAAATTTTATCAAAGCTAGTAAAGGAGGCCATCAGAATGTTTATACCAGTGAAAGCTTTATGTTAGTGTTTTTGTATGTGTAAATTCAATTTAGGAATACAAACTAACAATAAGTATAATTACCTACAAGAGCTATCAAGTTGTTGAAATTCAGCAAATAATTTCGTTTCAGCAAACAATTGACAGCCTTTAAAATCCATTGTATGTTTGGTTATTATATGCAATATATAATACATTGCAACTGACTTATGCTTAAGTCTGCTTTAAAATTAAAGTTGGAAATATCTGATTCTAAACAGACAACATAGTCTGACAAATGAAAGAAAAAAATCCTTTCTGGTTATTTTCTCTCAACATCATCCATCCCCTTTTTAATAACAGTTTTTTGTATTTCCCAAGGCTTACAACTGTGTTTTCATTGAAACAATACCATTTTAGAAAGCTGTCATGTGAAATAGATACTCTAGAGAAAAGATAGTTGAAACTTCTCAGTAAAAGCTCCTAAAAGTAAATGCCACTTACAGCAGGTGCTGAAATACAGGGGAACATATTTTTGTATTCATTAGGTCAACAGTATAGGGTATTGAGGTTAAGAGTTGTCATTTAAAATAATTTCACTGGAAGATTCATTCCAACATGCTAGTAATGTTTCCTATGTTCTGAGAAATTAAAATAAAGCCGGTTTGACAAAACAGCATCTTCTTAAACTGTACTAACTTAACATAACAACATTCCAGTGATTTGCAAATGTATTGAGTGAACATGTGATAAGAACATAACTCTTTTTCTAACTGGTCTTCTTTTTAATCTTCGCTAAGTTAGTCATACAAAAAAAATTTCTTTACTATAGTGAAGGGCCCAGTATTCCCCCCATCCCTTCCCCCCGCTCCCCCGCCTCTGATGTCAGCAGGACTATTTATGTATGATTTTACCAAATGGGGGTGGGTAATGCATACATTTGATTATTGTTGTTACCATCTCTTTCTTAGTCATTACTTGTTTATCTTGTGTTTTACATTACAAGTTCTTCAGGAATTTTCTGTATGTTTGTCAAAAGAGTCAGACTGAAATCTAACCTGTACCATGCAATACATGGCATTTTCAACTCTATACAGACTGCTTGTATAAAAATAATGCTACCATCCCCTATGTAAACAGTGAAAAAGAAAACAGACATCAACATGTTATCCTAAAAAGCTTCAAGAGCATGATGCTAGGAAAATATGTATCAGCTGTCAATTTGATCCTAATTTTGTTTTTTGAATAACTTTGAATTCAGAACTTTGAATAATAACAACAGGGTATTTAATGGCAAATTGCTTAGCCTACCAACCAGTTTATTATGATATATAAGCCGTGTGTCAGGTTACATGAAACTATAATCTAAAGGCAAGCTGAAAAAGGAAAAAAAAATGACAAGTTCCTAGAAAAGGGCATCATGAATACACTAATATTTTTAATAAGTTAATTTTCTTATTTGAATACCAGCATTATATTCTCACTATGGAGTGCCATATTTTTTCACAGTAAGGATTCTCAATTGCCTTTCATTTCTCATAAAGATACATGTTAGCTCTTTTTATTCATTATTATCTATGACCATCACCCCATTCTAACTCATTTATTCTATGAGGCAGACACTTTTTTAAAGAAATATTTTAAATAGATAAAGAACTCCAAGAAGGTATAAAATGTTTGTGGTTGCTATGAGAAGGGTGAGAGACCAGTTTCTTAGGTCTTTTTTAGCCTACTTTGTGATGCCAGAGATTAAGTCTTTTTGACTACTACTTTCATACAATTTACAGGTTATTAATTACAAACACACTGTGGGGGGGGGGGAGAAGAAAAAAAGAAACAGCCCTCAAATGGGTATTAAAGTAGTCATGTGAGGGACTGAAAAAAGTCATTTTACTTTTTAAAAAGTAATCCCCAATTGAATTAGAATTTACATTTTGCATTTCATCTCATACAGCATCATGGACCATATCTAAATTGCTTTGAAATCAGTTTCTTAGATAGATTTTTACAAATAATCCCTTTGCTCTGACAAAGATTTACTTTAAATTACAAAGCATTTTCAGTTGAAAGGAAGCACATATCTATGTATGGGGTATAAGATTCGTTTTATCCTGATTTTTGTGCTTCAATGTATTTCATTTTGGAAATTACAGTATTCTTAGGTAAATTTAACATTTGTTGAACTGAACTAGTTTCACTCCAAATGTGCATTTACTTACCATATCCAATAGGCAATGAGATTTTCCATGTGCAATCTAAGTTACTAGGGTAATTACCAGGAAAACCTGGACTCAGGATCACTCCGCCCATATCTGTCAGTGTTCCACCACATTTAGCTATTAAAAAGACAATGAAAGTCAGCCTCTCTTTTAATAATAATTACTATCTTGATTATAATGAATACTTTACATTGTATATTTCCTTTCTGAAGTGCATATTGATTTCAGAAATCCAATATACAGCAGAAACAGTAAAACATATAACATAAGAGCGGGGAAAAAAAAAAGATTTTGTAATTTGAAATCAGAAAACAATATATCAGATACTGATAACTCAGAGAATCCACTGGATATGGAATTACTTCCAAAATGGTTCAAGGAGACAGAATGAAAATGCTCTGTGGTGATTAATTCAGAGTAAAACACACCTAAGATGGAAGCTATGTTGGAGAATGTCCATTTGTCCAGTACAGTGGATTGCTAGTAAGCACGAAAATAGTGGTCACACAAAGAACTCTGAACTGGATGCATGTCAGTGCTTTATTTGGTACCATGACCTGGAAGAATGATCTGGCATGAACCTGAATTAATGATTAATCAGCTGTCACAGTAAATGCAGATAACAGCCTAATTAAGAGTTGCTCAGTAGGGCTGTGCAAAATGGCACTGTTCTGTTTTGACTTGCATTTTGACATTTTGACAGAACAGCATTTCGTTTTGAATTTTGTTTTGAATCAAAACTGCTGTTCTGTTCCGTTTCCTTGAAACAGTTTTGCTGTTTTGATGTTTTACCCATAGGCTATAATGGGGAAGCTCGAAATAGCCTATTACTTTGTCATTTCTAGACAGATTTAGGTGAAACTTGCAGAAATGGTATCCCCTTCTGAGGCCATGAAGCCTGCCCGCTTTCAAGGAGATAGGCGCAAGGGTTCTGGGGCCCTGCACCTCTGGCTGCTGACAGGTAAAACTCGTGTCATGGGTATTTGTGGGACTGTCTGTCTTAGGGCACAGGGGGTTGAAAACTGTAGGCCTGCTAGGCCCTGATGTGGCCATGAAGCCTGCCAGCTGTCAAGGAGATAGGCGCAGGTGGAGTCTGGGTCCTGGGACCCTGCACCTCTAGCTGCTGACAGGCAAAACTCGTGACATGGGTGGGTGACACTGTGTGTGGGTTATGGTGCGCCCTCACTCAGCTGACACCAAGGCAGAAAGCAGGGCAGTTCAAACAATGCTGCCTTCTATGCAGTTTTTCTATCCCTCCCCCAGAGCACTGGGATTGGAAGAGACCTCAGGGATGGATGACACTCACTGGCCAGCTACATTGTAAATAATGAGAGCAATCCTTCCCCACCCCTTCCCTGCTCTTCTCCATCCTTCTCCTTACTTTAGTTTCTGTTTCGCTGCAGGCAAGCCCAGCTTGAGCTTCGAAACTCAAAATGTTTAGAAATGTTTTAAACGTGTTGACTTGTCTCATTTCGTTTTGAGGCTGTTTCAAAGCTCTCTGTTTCATTTTGATTTTGCTGTTTCAAGCTTGAAACAAGTTGAAACAGTGTCAAAACAAAACTGCCTGCAAAATTTCACAGAGCCCTATTGCTCAGGGGATACATTGTTTCATGAGTGTATTGTTTACACCATTTACAGTGACTCATAAAACCCATCCTAAACTATGAAAAATAATTTCAAAGGAAATGCTTCTGTTCACATTCTTTTTTCTTATCCATATTACAAGGAGGATAGTATGGAAGAGAATTTGCAACGCTAGATTAAATTTGTTGATTTTTTTAACATCATACTACCACAGTACTTCATACTACCACATGCCAAATATTTCAGGGACTGTAGAATGAACTATGAGAGTTATATTGGGAAACTAAGAAGGGTCTCCTAAGTAGATTACTTGTCAAATTAATTGAAGGAGGAGAAAGCTCATGAAAAGAAAATGGAAAATATCTCAAACATCACTATTTCCTATAATGATAAATGTAAAAAATATTGTCCTCTACAGAAAATATAGCTCCTTATGAGCTACTAGAAGGCAGAATATATGCATCATTCTAAATAACTATACTTAGGCAATTAAAAAAAAATCCACTGAGTCGAAAAAAAAAATGTTCAACAGACTTTTTAGTAGAAATTTAATAAAATACTAAATGGTAGGTAAAGCCTAAGATTAAAACTTCCTATATTCTTTTGTTTTTTATTTCAATTTTTTTAACATATACTATTGATTTGAATGAATTTGTCTCCTCAGTAATTAATCCTTTACCAACTTAAAACAACAGGAATTTATCAAGTGTTTGTAAGTTAACTTGTTTAGAATCATAGAATCACAGAAAATTAGGATTGGAAGGAATGTCATGAGGACTGAGGCAAATGTGACGCATGCTGTCACATTTGCCCACATTTGTTTCCAGAATTATTTTTAAATTAATGACAGCTTTTGGTGATGAGATAAATAAAATGATAGTCATACACTGATCAGGTGTCAAAAAGGAGAATATGCTTTAAGGGTGGATGTAAAAACTTCTAAAAAACCAAAACAGTTCTAAATAAACTGTGGTAGATAAAAGGGAGAAAGGAAGCACTCCACTCTCAGTGAGGAACCACATTTTGTGTCTTAACCAAAAGCCCCCTGCCAATCTTGGGCACAACAGCATATACAGAATACATGTATCCATACCAAGGCAGAGGGGAGACGGATAGTTCCAACGTCGCACTGTTCCAGGCATACAAGAAATATGAGAACGGCCCTGTGTATATAAAGTGAGAAAAGATTTAAGTAATTCATAGATTCATAGATGTTAGGGTCGGAAGGGACCTCAATAGATCATCGAGTCTGACCCCCTGCATAGGCAGGAAAGAG